CGCTGCCGCCGCCGCCGCCGCCGCCGCCGCGCGGGGTCACCTGAAGGTTGGGGCGCGGGAGCTTAACTCCGCGCTGATTGGGCTCCAACTTTTCCGTGCCCTCATCTTCCCCTGACTGCCCGCGTGTCTACTCGTACCGCCACTCGGTGTGCGTCGCAGAGGCGGAGAGCCAGGACTTGTTGAAGCGGAAGGGAGAGAAGAAAGGACCCACTTCAAGAACTTTTTTAAACTGTGGAGTCGCCCTACTGGATCCTCCCACGCACACTGGCTGCTAGAGACTTAGAAGTTGCTGGGTGGATCGTGACACTGAAGGGAAGCAGTAACCTCTTGCTTCTTGCTTAAATGCGGATTCGGAGGGACAGCGAACTGTCCAGGAATTGACCAGGAACCAGGAAATCGTCGAGGATGGGCAAACTAAGTGCCTGCAGACCACATTCAGACCCTGTCTGTTTCTGTGAATGATTTACTGGACCGCCTCCGTGCCCACTAATTTGAATTATCAGTGACTGTGTGTGATCCATGGCTGCTTTGACTCTACAGGGGAGAACTGAGTAGTGATGAAAGAGATCGGGTACTCCACAAGCCCTAAAATATGTACTATCTGACACTTTTCAGAAAGTTTGCAAACTGCAGTCGAATAGAATAAAGAAGCCATTAGAGTTGTACTTTGAGTTCCTACCTTGCAAACCAGAACAGTATAACAAACATCCAATCACAGGCAGCCAGGTTTCAGCCAGTCAATGACCGCCAACTCATCACACCATGCCCAAATAGGGCAGCCACCTAGCTGTAGCCAATCAGTGGCTTTTCTTACTTCGATCTTTGCCCACAGTGCGGGAAGGAGCTCTCAGCATCTCCTCTGGTTCTAAGTGCTGCCCTATTCATGAATTGTTCTTTACTCAAGTAGACTGTCCTAATTTTGTTTGTTTGTTTGTTTGTTCCTTTCTGCTATAGGGCATGTGAGCTTTTTGGAGAGACAGAAAGTGAGAAATCACCCCCCAGGGGGGATGACCATGCTGCAATCCATTCTCCTCCATTCTCCTCTTGGGATTTTGGGCATGCACACTGGAGCTAGAGCATGAGTTTTAAGCCACCAGGTCCAGGACTTGAACCGCTGTGAGCTACATGGGAGTCCAGTGATGTAACCATTACGCCATCAGCTGGTCCCAGACTCTCCTAAATTTTATCTTTCTTCTGACACCACAGTAAATTGAATGTGTCCTACTCCTACCAGATTCCTACATTGAAACCTCAATCCCCCGTGTGTTTTTTGAAGATGGGGCCTTTGGAAGGTGAGTAGGTCATGAGGATGGACTGCCATAGTAATTAGTGCTCTTGTGAGAAGAGACAGAAGAGGTCCACCAGGTGCATAGTGGTAGCAAACTGAACTGCAGTGCTGGAAACCATATGACCAACTGCAGGTTCAGATCCTGGGGTTGGTGCAAAAACGTGATGGCTGTGTTTGCATGAGACTAAGAGCGTGATGAGCTGAAGTGCTGGGAAAGGGGACCATGGTGTGGTGAGACCCTAACAAGGGTGGGTACTCCTCTCTCTCTCTCTCTCCCTTCCTCCCTCTCTGTTCTCATGCAAGCTTGTGATATCTATCATGGATGAAATGCAGTTTTTCTTTTTTTAAAAGAGAAAGAAAGAGACAGGAAGAAGTTTGCTTCCTCGCGGTTCTCTGCCATGTGAGGACACAGAGGGAAGCTATCAGCTAACCCGGAAGAGGGTCCTCACTAGAACCTGGCTATGCTGGTCCCTGATCTCTGACTTTTCAGCCTCCAGAACTATGGCAAATAAATGCCTCTTGTTTCAGCTACCCATCTATGATATTTTTATATGGCAGCCAGAGCTAATAAACAGACTCACCGTCTAGACCGTACTTGTTAGTATCTCATTTATTGGCTTAGTATCTAATTTATTGCAGGAAAGTGACAAAGATATAGTCTGGCTCTTTACTTACTTAGTGGGAAGTGGCCCTAAACTCTTTCAACCATACACTGTCCTGTCCACACATGGCCCATGGACTGCCCGAGCCTCCACTGAGCAACCTCCCTAGGCCTCACCACTAACTCTGAACACTTGAGGAACATCAGTAAAGCATAAACCTTACAGTAGTTACATAGAGGTTCGTTAGATGACTTATTCTACTTTTATGTAAATCTGAGATTTTTTCCAAAAGCAACCCACTATCTTGGGACTACCTTGATAAAGGTAATTTGAAAAGACTAATTAGTTAACTTTTCCAAATAACAAAAGTACTTTATATTTCAACTGAAATCTTCTGGAGGCATAAAGTCTTCATCTGAAACAGGTCAATATGAGAGCTTTGGGAGGCTCAAGTAAGCCAGACAGCTAAATAAAGCTGTCACCGGTGATCTTGTCATGAGAAAAATAACAGTATACACCAAGAAGAAAAATACAAGGCAGCCCTGTCCTTCCACTAATTCTGCATTTACTGTAAAAATATTTCATTTAAAACAAACCAGAACTTTGCACATAGTTATTGATCATTAATTGTTTGGTCAATGAATAAAAATACTTTGAAACTAATATTATTCTTAAAGAGACAAAGAAGCAAAAAGCTAAAAACAAATGTGACACAATAGGATATCCTTCTACAGTAAAGAAGCAAAAAGCTAAAAACAAATGTGACAAAATATGATATGCTTCTACAGATCACCCTTGCTGTTAAAATATGTCCTAAGCAAGAAAAAAAAGCTGTTCTGACAAAGACTGACAGTTTTAAGGATGTAGTTGTTTATCTGAGTACGATATAATAGTGTAATGTTATAGCCAGATAGTGCTAAAATAATATAATAATCCAATTGTACATATTTGAAAATTTAAACCTTTGGTTAAATAAGTAGGGACCAGCTGGTGACACAGCAGTCACACAAGTAGCCTTACATGGGAGAGGTACTGGGTTCACGTCCTAGATCCTCCCTAAGCACACTGGGCACATATGCCTGTGATCCAGGTCAGCTGACACAAGATGGATCACAGCATTAGACCCTGTTGGGGGTGTCTGCCTCTCTCTCTCTTTCTCTCTCTCTTTCTCATGGAAGAAATAAATGAACTTTTAAAAAAGCAGTTTATGGCACAACTGTTTTGAAAATGGAAGTGTCTGGATTTAGAAGATACTCTGAATTTTATTTCTCTTAGTGCAAAGGATTGGGAAGACAACTCATGCTCAAGATGGTTTGCAGAAAAAGAAACAGGCATTACTTTATCAGCCGGGAAGCTGCAATTTCACCTAATTCACTAAAGTTTAATATTTCAGCACAGCTGGGCTCAAGACAACAGCAGAAGACTCGATCTTACACAAGGGTTCCCTAAACACCCTTGCAAATGAAGTTACTTTTTATCAAGCCAGTGGCTATCAGCAGGGGACTCACAAAAGCCCATTTTAATTGGAAAACCAAGTGTAAATTTGCAATGGGAATTCTGAGCCAAGTGTTAAAATTTGACAGTAGGACACTTTACCACAAGCTTTGAAATTTGAGTCTTATGTTAGTAGGTTATGAGTTTCTTATTTATCCATGAGAGATTTAGGAACCTGACAACAACATGATTCCTTAAATATGATCAGCCATAGAGCCAATATTGGAAACTGAGCATTTTAGCGACTTACAATTTACAGGTAAACATTTGACCAGCAACCCTGAGTATCTATGTTGTGCAGTAATCTGAGATACTGCGGAGGCCGCGATTGGAAACATAAGCTCAAATCGACACCGCTAGGAAGGTGTGTGTGCACACACCACTTATCCAGCCCTCCCAAGTCTGCCTCTCATTTGACCTCTGTTAGTCTTTTTTCACCATCATGAATGCCTTCTTTTATAAAGTAACTTAATAACAAAGACTGAGAAGTTTGGTGTATATGCAAAAATGTCCAGATAACTGGAAATCTTTCCAGAAGTTGAGGAAGCTTCTACTTTGGAGGCTGGAGGTTTTAAATACAAAGAACAAGTGGCTCTCAACAAAAACAAAAAGGAGATTTAGGGGCAACCTAAAAGTAGATGATTTCAATAGGCACAGATCTGGGTACTCCTGAAAAGGAATCCCAGATCTCGTGTTTAATGTAGATTCGCACATCCATACACACACGCATTCTGAGATAATTCTGAGAAATACATCCTTGGGTGATAGTGTCATTGTGTGATTATCACAGAGTGTACATACACAAACTTATTTGATATGTTTCTTACGGGATGTTGACCAATATATGGCTAGTCATCTTATGACTGTATCTAAATTGTCTGTATAGGGTGTATATATCCCAACCTGCAGGACAGTCAAACAGGTTTCCTGAGGGAAGGAGTGAGAGACGGGATGAGCAGCGTGGAGAAGACGCAGTGTTACAACACGGAGACGACACAGTGTTATAACTCTTCAGGGTCGTCCGTTTATTGTGGGCCAGGGATCGTGGTTATATACATGTTGGTGGGCGGTGATTGGTTGCTCTATATGTAAATAAAGAATTGTAAAAAGGTGGGTTATGATTGGTTGGACCAATCATAAGGTGCTGAATATGCAAATCTGAGGGATTCTAAACTCACCAATCGGTGAGCGCTATGGGAAGTGGCCAATTAGAGTATGGTTTTGAAGGTGAGGTTTTGAAGGGGAGCCAATTGTGGCCTTTGGCATTGTGTAATTGTTTGCTCTCTGAGAAACCAAAACCTAAGGGCTTCCTAAGATGGCAATAGTAAGAGACTCATGAAAATGGCCTCGGCAGACTCGCTGGTGCGCAGCCTCCCACATGAATACATATATTTGTTTGTATATTGTGTATACATGTTTGTATTGTGTGTATAGTGTGTATACATATATTTGTTTTCAGAGAATGATATCTCTGATGGTATATAGGAGACCCCACACTGTAAGGAGAGGAGAAATGCTGTGAGAGATATGGAAAATTGATGCACCAAAGAATCTTTTCCTTCATTTAGGTGACATTTCTTTACGTCTCCTTAGAAAGGTTGGTTTCTGGAACCAGCAGTTAGCATAATGGCTATGTCGCTGGACTCCCATGTAGTCGACCACAGAACGCATCCCGGACCTGGTGGCTTAAAACTCATGCCGGGCGTGTGTGCGTGCGTGCCCAAGATCCCAAGAGGAGAATGGAGGAGAAGGGATTGCAGCATGGCCATCTCCCCTGGGGGGTGATTTCTCGCTTTCTGTCTCTCTGTCTCTCTCTGTCTGTCTGGAGAGCACACGCGCCCTATAGCAAAAATCTCTCTAAAAAAAAAAAAAAGAAAAGAAAAGAAA